TAGATAGGATTTATATTAGGCAGGGGATAGGAGTGGAGAGGGTTAGAAACAGTAGACGGGGTGGTTTGTCTGACCACAGAGCAGTGATGGGACCTTCGGGTGGATGGTATTCCGAGAATATATCAGAGTTATTGGAAATTAAATGGGGCTTTTACAGAGGAAAGATCAAGGTTGGTCCTTTCAGGCATGGTGGAAAGGGTTTTGGGGGAAAGGGATGAGGGGGTTTGGATTTGCTAGATTGGTGGGAGTTGCAGGCAAAGGTGCAGATTGCAGGATTTTTTAAGAAGAGGGGCAGGGAACGGGCACGTGGAGGTTTGGATTGCAGAATTATTTGGAGGGCCAGTTGAATGATTGTTATGGGGGGGGGGTGGGGAAGGTCTGGGAGGAGTTATAGGGAACTTAGAAGTTGTTTAGTGGAGATGCATATTATTATTTTAATCAAAAAGAAGCGCTAACCCAAAAGGGGCCCTATACAGAGTGCGTGGAGATGCATAATGAACGTTTCATGCACTCAGGGTAGGACAGGCTTGGAGGACGTACTAAAAGGTGAAAAGCCAAGGGTATGTACTCCGAAAATTCAAGGACAGGCTTTGGGGAATCCCTTTGGGCACATATTGTCGGTGGAGGGGGGGGGGGAGGGTTATGTGCAGGGACAGGGTCTCTCTGAAACAGATTGTATCAGTAGTATACTGATTATTGGTTTACGGAGAAATGGAAGAGAAAGGGGAGGGGGGGTTGGGTTAGAAACATTTAGAGCTATAGGGTTCATCAGGGTTTGGGGCAGGGGGATAGGGACATGTTGGAGGGAGGCATTAAGGAGGCAGAGGGGGGGGAGGTGGTAAATGGGTTGAGTCAGGGGAAGGCACGGGGAATAGATGGGAAATCTTATGATTTTTACAGAGCACATTGGGAGATCTGAGGGAGTGCCTAGTGGGGTTCTGAATTATATGTTGAAACGTGGTAGGATGGCACAAAAAGAACTGGGGTTGTTGTTTTGGTGCCAAAGAAGGGGGGGGAGGAGAAGGGTTTGAAGAGATTATGTCCGTTGTCGTTAATGTGTACAGATTACAAAATTTTTTGCGAAGGTATTGGGAACAGGTTAAAGAAAGGGAATTGGGAATGCATACGTGAGGGTCAGTATGGGATACGGGACGGAAATATGAAGAATGGGCACAGTGGGATAAGGGATTTTATAGAGAACTGCCGGGAGGGGGCATCCTTGGCTTGGTTGGGCTCAGGCCTATGACTGCGTGAAGAGGGACTTTTTGTGGGGGGCTGTTTGGAGAAATTGGGTTTTGGAGGGGGGGGGGGGGGTAGTGAGGTGGGTGCAACACTATTGAGGGGGCTGTCATGAGGGTGCAGGTTAATGGAAAGCTGGGGGGACGGTGATGAAAGGAACAGGGATTAAGGCAGGGTTGCCGCTGTTTGCAGTTGCTTTTGCATGTGTGCAACATCCTTTCTTTGAGGCTGTGGAGGAGGAATTGGGGGGGTAGGGGGGGAAGCATGGGGGGGAATAGTAGGTTATGTGGATGAAACTGTTTTGTTACAAGTGGGGAGGCTTTAAGAAGGGTGGGAGAAGGTGATAAGGAGTTTGGGGAATGCTTCAGGAATGGGAGTTAATTTAGCAAAGTCTAGGTTATTGGGGGTAGGAACATGGGTTGGGGGGAGATTGGGGAGGAGATGGGATGGACGGTTTGTGACAGAATTAGGGTGTGTGGGATATGGTATATGAAGCAGTTGCAGGAATGTAGGAGGATTAACTCAGAACAGTCACGAGTAGGGTTATAGGCAAGTTAAAAGGTTTGAGGGTTAGTGAAGTGGAGTTACAGCAGAGGGCGTTGGTAATTAAAATCGCTGGTGTATAGTAAGGTCTGGGGTTTTGGCGGTGTTCCCTTTGAGGGTGCAGGATAAAACAGGAAATACAGAGGAGGGTTTTTGAGGTTTGTTGGGGGGTTTGGGAGGGCGGTTGTCAAGGAGGTGGTCATGACGGAGGTGAAACGGGGGGAGGACACAAGGGTTTTTTGGCCTTAGGGCCTAGGGTAATGGCATTATATATTAAGCAGAGGTATCTAAGGGTGGGGGGGGGAGACGGGTGTTAGGTGGATAGGGTGATGAGGGATGCTAGAAATGGTGGTGTGGCAGGGATTTTAGAAAATGTGAAGATGTAATAAGATTCTTGTTTTACAGTGAGGCAGGTAAAAGTGTGAAGGTAAACCCGTTTGGGGGGTGTGGTGTGGGGAAGGGGGGTATTGCAGGGGGTCGCAGTATACCCCATGCATAACTGGAGGGTCATATGGGGGGAGTTCAGGAAGCTTAGGATACCAGCAAAGGTCAGGGAGATGGTATACCGTTTTCTCATGGGTGTGGTTGCATCTAGGCAAGTGTTGCATAAAATGGGGTTGGCGAGAGAGGCAACATGCTTATTCTGTGGGGAGGAGGAAACTGCCTATCATGTGGTATATTTTTGTTCATCTTTGGGCGTGGTGAGTCTGGATGGCGGGGGTTATTAGGTTGTTTGGGGGGGGGGGGGGAGATTGGTCTTTTCTGAGATCTTTGCCGATGGATGTTAGTGGGGTAGCAAGTGAAGTGGGGAGGGCTTTGATGTATGTTATGGCAGATTATTTGCATGTTTCTTGGGGAATGAGGCAGATTCGAGGGCAGTTGAGGATAAAAGCGTTAGCAGCAAGGTTCTTTAGGACAAGGTGTAGGATTATTATAATCAAAAAGAAGCGCTAAGCCACAAGGGCTATACAGCCCACAAGGTGTAGGAATAGATTAATATATGGGGGGAGATGGGAATCAAGTTTTTCGGTAGGTTATCGTAATCTCACTGTAGCACAACTTCTCAGGGAACAGGGGGGGGCAAGGGACGGGTCTCCTTTTAATGTGAAGGGGGGTGTAAGGTTGTGCTAGTAGTGTTGAAGGTGATTGAGAGAGCGCTAGTGAAAGCATACATTCGTGAACTGGTTATGTTCCTGGAGGGTTATTTTATATTTGCGTTCAGTACCATGGTTTCAATCAGTAACACCTAGAACGTCATACATTTACATATTTTGGTTTGGGTATATTTTTTACACTCAATGTCAAAGGGTTAGGTGGCTTACGCAGCTGTTATAGTGTTTTATGTCAGGCAGTACTGAACATGTACAAAAATGATACTGCCATTGAATTCTAGTAATCCTTTTTATTAAAGTGTTAAAAAATTAAAATAAAACAAGGAAACACTGTAGGTCAAGTGAACGTTAGTATGGGATGATGCTTGTATTTTTGTAGTTTTAAACATGCAGCTGCAAGTACTTTCCTTTAAAGCTGTACTCCTATATAGAAGGATTGTAATACTTTTACACACATTCATGTAGTGAATATTACTATGTCAAGGATGCATACTTTGCGTTTCAGATAGGGAGATTAGGATCTTATATCCAGTCATTAACAAGTTTGATCTTAAGCTAGGATTTAGTTAGTTGTAGGGGAGTGCCTGTATAGTCTTCATTGAGGGTGTTTCTTGCCCCGTTCTTGTGTGGGGAGAACCAATTTGACATGTTTCAATGTGATAATTCTAGTCTTGGATTATATTAAATATTTACATAACCTAGCTACGTTATGCAATGTTAAGACAGTTTGAATTTTATGGTTGATGCATTATTATTGATATTAAATATTGTGGGTGTATATTCTTCCGCTTATACAGGTTGTGTGTGTGTGTGTGTGTTTTTATTATAATCAAAAAGAAGCGCTAAGCCACAAGGACTATACACCATGTGTGTATAGGAATGTAATGTCCATATCTGTTTTCGTATGTACTTTTATATTTTTGTTTTGTTTTGTTCATGCATCACCAACTTCTGGTAAATTCCCATTAATGAGGTAAGGGTATAACCCTAATTGTTAGGTTACTTAAGGTATTTCTTAGAACGGTGCATGTAAATATTTTTGTCTGCACTGGTATTATTAATTATTGTAAAAGGAGGGGGTTTTGTAGGACATGTTGGATGTGTAACTGGTTGTAATATGGCTATCAGCCATAGTGTTATTTTAAGTACTGGGATTGTGTGAGAGGATATTGTTAATATCCAGTATAGTTCTTTTATTAAACTCTTGTACATTCTTGTATTTGTTGTAAGTTTTAAATAAAAATATAAAAAAAAAATCCAACCTCTTCTCAGCAGTCACCTTAAACATTCCTCGCCTGACCTTTAACGTCAAAATGCTCCTTGTATATATTCGCGTATACTCTGCTCAGGTACATCTGCGACAAAGTCTACTGTGCAGGCGAAGCTTAGTTTATGTAAGATTGCATTGTAATGCAATCATGTTTTTTCCAAAGTCAAATTTGATAGGCTGTCAACCAAATTATCACTCAACCACTTGTGCCAAGGATTAAAGTGAAATATGATTATTAAAATGCAATATAAAAGTAATTTTTTCGTCGCTTACGAGTTTCATTTAACCTAGCGGTTTCTTTATTTTGCACATCCCCCTCTGCAGCACTGCACGACCCTTTCCACTTTAGCTGATTAATATATATATTAACGAGAAGGAACATACATTTATTGGAGAGTGCTAAATCAGTCATACAACACCCGGTGAATGGGAGTCAATTTCGAAGGGGAGGAAAAGTAACTGCCTAAATCAGGAGCCCTCCTTCCCAGCATCTCGGAACCTCGTACGACTGGCATGGTTCAAGTGGTAAGCCCTCCTCTTTGTAGGGATGATGCCACGAGTCAAATTATCTAAAGCATCCTTCAAGTAAGGTTATTTGACGCAGATAAGGGGCTCCTGATTCAAGAATGACATTTTCTTCCCCTTTATCGAACCCATATGTCTCCATTTCCCAAGCGTTGCATAGTAAGCGTTTAGCGTTTTCTTCCATGATAATGGGCAAGTTACTTATTTGCTCTTTCGTAAATTTAGAAGACTTTTGTAAACATGGTTTGATTACCCTCAACATATACTTGAGGTCTTATTATAATACCCAAGTGAAAAATGGACTAAAAAAAATTACTAAAGTATCATTTATTGTCCTTCAGAATGTAGAAAATATAAAAAAAAAATTGATATCACTCCACAGGAGATTGTCAGCATTTTGAAATTTGAACTTATGACCATATATTTATATTAAGAATTATTAATGGCCTTAAGAAATTAAATAAGATTATTCAATAAAACAGATAAAACCTAATTTTACAAGAAAAAAATCCGTAAAAGAATAACTCAGACATACTTTGAACTTACCTATATCAAGATCTTTTAATAAAAGAAAAACATATTAAATATTTGTCATATCCTAAAGAATAATTGCACTAAAAACGCAGAATCTATAGCGTGCCATATAATTGCAATTGAACAATTTCCGCATTTTTCCGTTAACTAAATTAAGAATTGAAATTTTTATAAAACTAAGTGTATGGCATCTGAGAGAGTTCTGCAATGGTTGGTAGTTGTAGACTACGAGAGACCTCCATTGGGTTGGATATAAATGGCTCCACCCAATTTGACGCGAGACGTGGCGTTGTGTTATACCAGGCTTCCCACCAACGACCTACTGTTGAGGAAGTAGACGTATCAGAACCTGAAGAAGCATTGGACCCCACACTTTTCTCTATGCTGCTGTCTACGCTGATATCTACTACTCTCATGTCTACACTACCTTCTACACCGGGTTCAAGCACAGAACCTAAGGAATTATCCAATACATTACTGTCAGTTGAAGAAATACTTATCCTAGATGAAACTGGTTCAATCTCAGTCGTGTTTATTTTATCTATTGTAGTTCCAATTCTAGAGGCAGATAGATTTGGGTCATCAGCATTTTCTTGCAAAATTCGAATGGCATAAAGACGCCGTAAGTTAGCTAAAAGGACATCACTGGCAGATGGATCTGGTGCAATGCCAGCATTTTCAGCCAAGGTTAATAAAGCTGAACCTAGTTTGTCGTGTCGAGAACGCAGTCTGTGACCCCTCATGGGTGATATCCCTGCTGCCTCTTCTAGGTCATGAACGAAATGGCAGCGTGTTCCATATTGGCAGTAGCCTAGACTGTGGTACGTGCGGCACAGGTCAGTTTTGTAGCGGGGATGTCTGGGAACAGCACGCAGTTCATTAAGTCCATGAGCGAATGTGCAAGTGCTTCCAAATCTGTGGATAATACAGAGCTATAATATCCATACAAATATAACTGCAGAGAAAATATTCTTAAGCACTTAGTTTTTAAAGTTATTCGTGAGGTGACAAAGGATTTGACTATTAAATTAAGGTTTACCACAATATAGTAAAAGTTGCAAAACTAATAAAAGTTAAAATATTTTAAAACTGAGCAACCAAATGAGTGTTTAATCTGAAGTGCTGAATACGTCTATTAAGAACAGTAAAAATATTTTTTACTGTACCAGGAAGTTCAGACTCTTATTTAAAGGGGTGTAAAATCTTGTTCAGGTAAGCGAACCATGCTTGTTAATACTAGTCACCATTTCACGAAGACGTGTCATGAGATCCTACTGGTTTACATACTGATAAGTAACCATCTTCAACCTATTAATTTAGAGGGCAGCAAAACTCCTGCTCCAATTTATTTTACCTACACCATATTACAGTATATTTATGGGGAAAAAGGGTGCAACCCCTGTTACTATACGCACATGGTATAGGAGAAAACCCCTGTTGCTCAAATAAAAGTGTTTTAAAATATCATGGATCAATAGCCTTAAAAAAGTCTTTTTAAAATTTCTGCTACACAAGGAAAATCGGCTAAAATAAAACGACCTTCCATTCACCATACAAGTAGCCCCCGTTCCCCCCCCTACCTTAACAAATTTGTCATTTCCTTAAAAAAAATTTAAATACCCATCGAATTTGGGTTTTTTACACAAAGTTCTAGTACACCAGGTATATACAATTAAACATACTGACCCAGCAAACCCTGCCATATGTAGTGGCAAAGGGGATTATAAATTTCTGGGGAAAAGGAAAAAGGATACATTATACTGTGGATGCCTAAATCCATAGGATCATACAGGGGGGGACAAGCGTTTCCCTGGGTAAAGGCCCCCTTCCCAAGAAAGGGACCTACCTTGGGGGTGTGTTTGATGTACCCCATCTAATTTCTTTCCCACCCCCTTTTCCTTTATCTATAAAGAAAATTTTTTTTTCCTCTTTCCGAGATGGGTACCCTTTTAAAATGCCATTTTGCCTAGCAAAAGGGAATTCCTTCGGGAAACCCAAGGGGGATACTCCGCATAACTAACAAACCTTTAATTTCCCCTTTTTTTTTGAAGAACCTTTAAATGGAATATTTTAAATCCCAGTGATAAGAATGTGGTCTTCCCAGCTCGGGGCCAGACTAACAAACCCAAGTTGGCCCCACCTGCGCGATGAGCATGACAGGTTTAAACTTAGTTAAAAATAAAAAGCTTTTCAAGAATGGGGAATTTTGCGCGCACTTGGATCATCCATTAAATATTTTTTTTCGTACAGAAAATTTTTTAAGTCTTGTCAAAACTTTCAAGGTATTATAAAAAATATAAAGTGCCTTACTAATATTCTTATTGTATTAAATAGGTAGGTTTTTAAATTTTGAAAGTTATGTGTACAGCGTTTGGCAATGAATTAAATACCAAGCCACATTTAAAAAACTAGCTTTATTAAAAGTTCTTTAAATTATTAATAAGAAAAAAACCACTTCAAAGCCCAAAAAAAATTTAAAAAAACCCAATTTTTGGGGTGGAAAAAAAAAAAAAAAAAAAAAAAGGCCAAAACTTATTTGCAATTTCATTTCCTCAAAGTTCTAAACTCGTCTTGTAACGTAAGGGGTTGGATGGCCAAACGGCATTGGCCGAACATTCTCTTGCTATTGTTGAAATACCCCTTGCTGTCTTTTGCTGGCGGGGAGGTCCGTTTAGGGTGGGGTCTGCTGTTAAGGCGTGGTGTCATTTGCAGCAACTAAAAGCTTTTGTACCCCTTTCCCTCAGCGTCCACTATCTTTCCAAAATGAAGTTGACTAGAAGTTATAAAATGAAAAGGTGTACTCGAGCTTGTTTGACAGGCAATCACTATAGTTCCTTCATTAGCCCGGTTAATTAAGTTGCCCGCTAGGCGGGCCCTTGGCTGAAGGGGCGACAGGACTGATCTAGAGAGAGGTCCGATTTGACGCAGTGGTGAATTGCCCCTAGGGTGGATCGTGTAGTGGGTGGGTCTCTCCTTATTTTAGCCCTAACCCGAGGGTGGGTGGGTGAGGACTTCCTGGGGTCAGTTTGATTTTCCTGTTCAAATTGCTCTTCCCAGGAAAAATTGATTTTCCAGCGACGGCCCCCCCCTACTTCGGTTCCCCTTTTAAAAACATTTAACGGAAGCTTCCCACCCCCCTGTTTTTAGGTCTGTTTAGTTTTTGGGAGGAGGAAAAAAAAAAAAAAAAAAAAAAAAAAAAAAAAAAAAAAAAAAAAAAAAAAAAAAAAAAAAAAACCCAAAGTGCCCCATCACACTGCTTCATATCCCCCCCACTGCCCATCCATTCAACATTTAAAATTTCAGAAAATTCATTCGCCCACAGCAAGAGGGTATAAAAAATAAAATTTATATTTTATTAAAATCCATACATAAATTTAAAATCAAATTGAGAAAGCTTTAACACGTCTGTCGTCCAAACCCAAAAAACAATAAACATGCACAATCGTTTTTCTTGTGAAAAAAAAACCCTTTTCCCCTTTTTAGGATACAGCCCAAGTAAGAATAAAATTACCCAAAATAATGGGCTACCCAGCAAAAAAACAAACCCTTTCCATAGTTACAAATATCTATGAATGTCAAAATTTGTCTGTATAATAAAACCCCCTTAAATGTTGTACCCCTTACAATAATGCATAACGTGACGACAATGAATTACAACTGACATAATCACAGAAAAAATTTTCGGGTGGGTATCTAGTGTAGTCTCCCTGCCCCCCCCATCCCGGCGGATTCCCCTTTTTCCCCCCCCAATTTTTCCCTTCTACTTAAAAACTGCTTTCTACCCATCCATCCCTAAATAAATAACAAAAAAGGGCCAAAAAACCCTGACTGGAACGTACAAAATAACCGCACATAAAAGAGAAGCTACGCGCGTTTTTGGTTCCGACTTTGGACCATTGACGTCACTTTTTCAATGGGCCAAGTCGGACCGAAAACGTCGTCGTAAACTTTCTTAAGTGGGGTTATTTGTGGTCCATACCCTGAACGAAAAGTGACATGCCCTATCATCAGTAAGGCTCAGAGGTGTAATCGTTCTAGGCAACAGACCACTCCGTAAGAAAACCCCATTTAAATGTAACGCACAACATAGGAAAAAAGTGATTTTGAACAAACGGTTAGCAATTATCCACACAAAACATCTATATTAGCATCTCGCTCACACCATGCCCAAAATTTAAAAAAAATTTCCGTCACACTGTACGACTTTTTCAGGTCGCATTACATACTTGCTTGGGGCTTTGTCTGACTTGTATAACCGCATAACAGGTACATACAGAATACTTTATAAAACAATGATTTACCAAACTAACAATGCACGATATGCAACCAACACCAGCCGGGAATTTAAAAATTACAAAAATTCCCTTAACCCCGGCGTGTTCTGTGGTGATTTTGTAGTTTCATTGTATAATTTTACCCGAAACTAATGATTGTACACGTAAACAAGGGTACATTCCAAGGAAAGTTGGTTTATGAACCCTTTTTCTACAAACCCGGGAAAATCCCGCCCCGCACACCAGCCTTTCTTCCGGGGAAATCCCCGTAAAGGCACTCTGGTACAAAGGGTTTTCTACCCTAAATGGTCCCGACATAAATGGGTCAAGGCAGATTGCTACAACACATTATGGATTGGTTACCACAAACCCAACCCCCTCCACAACCCTATTCTGGCATTTAAACTTTTTCCTCCTTACGAACAGTAAAAACAAAAATCTTCGTCTAACAATATGTAAAGTTACAAGGAAACCAAACACTGCAATGAGAAAACCAAACCGTTTTGGGTTTGAGTACCGTCTCCCCCCCCCTCCTTTTCAGGGCTGACATCCGCCGGGAAAAAAGCAATACCCCAGCCCAAAACAAAGGTCCACCTCCCTCACCCCAATTACCCCCGTACCACACCCAAAAAACACGTAAAATTCCCGGGCGCGAAAACCTAACCTCCCCCTCCCCGGGGGACCAACCCCTTGCCCCACCGGGGATTATTTTCCCCCTAACCCCCATTCACGAAATGTAATGCACGACTGAAAAAACCCTACCCCGGGCGGGATTGAAAGCGGTCGAGGGTTGGGGTTTTTAGATGACCGGGTTCCAATCCCCGCCCCCTGGTATGGTTTACACCTCATTATCCTGTAAGTTTCCATCGTTAGAGCCCCAGCCCCAACGAAAAAGCTCCCTCCCAGCCTTGCCCAAACCCCCTATTCCTCATTTCGTCCTATAAAACGGACATCAGTGCTCTGACGCGCATCGCACTCCCTTCCTCCCCCATTCACCTGAAAATGTAAGTACCAATATGAAAAACCCAAGACGTACCACATGGGCAATCTCCCCTCTCAAAAATCAAAACTAAGCATCGACAAAACCCCCCCCCCCCATATTGAGACCCCTTGAACAATCCCAACCTATGTTAAACCGTCACAAAAGGGAGACGACGTTAAAGCGTTTTGGCCACCCGCACCGAACAGGTCTGATCCGAGCATTCCCATAAGTCAATTGTGCTTTGGGCGCCAAAATCCCGTGGACGAAGCGGTAACCCGTTTCCCTAACTTTGGTTGTAAACGCAATTTCTTGGCCATGCATATAGTCGTAAAAGATATCCCGGGAAAACCCAATCACCAATGACCTCTCCATGTTTTACCTATATTGTTAATTTACCCGCCCCCAATCTCGTAGGGGTTTGCACCCCCGTAAATGCCGAACAGCGCTTTTGCACCTTGTGAGGTCTTTCCCCCCCCACCCCGTCGAACCCCCCTCTTTACCGCGTCAAACCCCCCGCTCCCCCGACCCCCCCCCCTTGTCAAGAAATTCTGTTGTACATTATGCTATTTGGCGACTGTGGGGTATTAACCCAAACCTCCTTGCTACTTTCGTTAAATGTTTCCTTTACCCCAAAGCCTACGGTAAACCCCCATATGAAATTCAAAGCCCTACTGTAAAGCAACACATCGTCCGCCATCAATGGATTAGAGCCTGAAAAAAAATAATTTACTATACACCCGACACTGACAACGTTACTGTTTGGTAATGACATACCCGGCGCCATCCCACCATCCTAGAACTGCGGTTGCTAACCATTACGATTAATTGCACGCGCCGCTGTTCGGGCATCGCCAAAAAAACACATATTTTTTAAAGCCCGGTTTTTCCACCCAACCCTTGCCCAAAAGTCCCCCCCCCCCCCCTAGGCCCCCCCTCCAAAAAATTTTGGGTTTTTCCGTATTTAAAGCGCATGCCCGAGTCATAAAAACCCCTATAACCTTATTAACGAAAACCAAACCATTCCT